CTGACGTAAGAGAAATACAAAATTGAATTCATACAGAAAAATCGGTACAAAACTGAAAGGTCATAAGATGTGGTCAAGAGGAAAATCAACAACATAGGAAACTTAAAACACAGTGGGCAGCGAAAATGGGGAAAAAAGTGTGATACAGAACAGATTGGGAAGGGGACTGTGTAAATCTGGGAGCCGGATTTTACCAGGGCAAAGCCTATATACGGCGGTCAAAACCAGACCTATGTAAACAGTTGGAGCATGTGGTTAACCTTGCTTTGCCCTGGTAAAATCCGGCTCCTAGATATACACAGTACCCTTCCCAATCTTTTCTTCATTGCACGTTTTTTTTTCATTTTTGCTGCCCATTGTGTTTTAACTTTCCGATGTTATTGATTTGCCTCTTGGCCACATCTTATGACCTTTCAGTTTTGTATCGATTTTTCTGTATGAAGTCAATTTTGTATTTCTCTTACGCCAGTCATGTTATGAAATTTATGTATCCAATAAATCCTACTGTTCTTGCAATTTACAAAAATCATATGTGGCCTCTATGGCGCTCCCTGTCGGGAACCTACTTAGCGACACGTGCTGTTGGTACGCGGTTTGAGTGTTTTTCGCGCCAGCCGTCTGCGCCCTCCTGTACCTCCGGCCTTCTTGACTGTATCTTGACAACTGGATCCCGGTGTGGGAGTGTTCAGAGAGTGGACTAGGTTCTCCGCAAGTCTGCCTCGCTGTATATCTTGTCGAAGTCACCGCGTGCTTCAACTCGTTGAAGCTCGTTGTGGATATCGTCGAAATCGACGGTCGAACTGTCGTTCGCCGATAAAGTTACGTGACATGCGCGTCCCATCTCAACGTACCTAGATGGGTGTTGGGGGTACTTTTTGACGTACTTAAGAGAAGGGGTCCGATCAGGGGGCTTGCGTCGGGCCGTACCATGCTAATTGAGTCTTGGGTCTAATGCAATGTGGGTGCATTGTAGAAATCTGGAAACTGTCCGGATGTCAGCATCCTTGGTGGACTGGAGGCCGCATATTACTACAAGGCACTTAAACTGGTCTTCTGTGAGACAACTGAGTTGAAAATGCCCACACTGGCGATTCACAGTGCCGGCATCGGTGATGAAATCGTCGAATTCCCGTTTGCACAGCTGGGGGGCACTGGAATCTAATGTTGAACAACGATGACTGCTCAACAAAACTCTGCGACGTCTCCAGCGTGTCCGCGAAGAAAATCTCTCGTATATTCTTGGGCAGGATAAAATTGGCCTAGCGTTCGTGCTCGGCAGAACCCAGTTTGCGAAGGAGGAGTCGTATCTCCCACGCGTCCTCCTGGGCAGCCAGATCGACAGAGAACAAGTCCTTGTATCGTTTGTACCAGGAATCGAATGTAATGTGGGCCTGTGGGTCATACAAGGACTTATTGATGCTGCCGGCGATGTGATCGATGGATTGTGAACCACCAGCAGAACACGACTGGCCCGTGAATGGGTTGGGTAGTTTGACGGTGAGGGTTTCCACCAGCTTCAGCTGCTGTTGCAACATTAGCTTCAAGTCCGCGTACAGGTCCTCCATCGTAGATGAAAAACTGCATCGCCAAATTGTTACGACCCGCGTCTGATACTTGTAAATAGCACGAACTCTGAGCTAGCTCAGCTGTTGCCCTGACCGCCCACACGAGAGAACAAGAGAAGTCAATCGACCAGGAAGAGAAGTGCATTCACTCAGAACACGTAAAGGCAAGAAAGTGCAAGTCAAGTCAAGTCCCTCTCACAAAATGCCACGGGATATTTATTCAGTCCGCCTTGTAGCGGGCCAAGGATGTCGAGGTTGGCATACACCTAAAGGAGTAATTTAGGCCTATGATTCTCCAAAGTAACGCCGAACGGGGTTGTTAATCACCACGACACACAATCGTATAAGGAGATAGAAGGATAACGAGATAGTGAGAAATAAGATCTGTTGATATAAAAGAGATGGTAAACAATAAAGAGAGGGGGGATACGATACGGGGATTTACCAAGAGACTATACAAATAATCCATTCGGAGTGAGGGGTAATCACAAAATGTCAGTCAGATACCGGTGGAAGTGCAGCGCTGTGGGCAACTGCGGGTGAGAGCCATGGTGGTGCTGACGGCGAGAAGACGACGATAAGACTGCGGCGGTGATACGGAACGCGGGGAGAATAGTGTCAGCGGAGGGAATGAGAAGGAAAATCGGCATCTTCACCAACAGACGTTTACACCATCCTCATCTGGATCCGCGCCATAAGTGACCTTGGTACGTTCAAACACCCATGGTTCTGGCTGGCTCATTACACGGTACAGCTCCATTAGCAGGCATCAGCGACAGGGGGCCAATCAGTTATGACAAAAAATCGATAGCCACTGTGCGCTCTCATGATAGCGGCGTGGAGTGCACTTGGTGGCCTTTCTGTAAGATGAGTGATCATATGAATGGGCGCATTCCCACCAGGAAGAAAACCTGTAAAGATTTGACCTTCGGAAAACTTTTATGAGTCTCCTGCAAATTTGACAAGAACCTTATTTTTGTACACTTAACCGCGCCTTAGCTTGACTGACAAAAGTTATAAAGATATTACTTCAGGCAACTTTTGCATGTTGTATTATGTATGTCGTGGCTGAACTTTATAACTTGTCTTCTTCTAGAAAGCTCTTGTCAGTGTCTCGACTTCTGAAAGAGGCAAATACATTCCAGGGCAGCGCCGCTTCCTACGCACGCATATCAGCTGCTGCGTTTAATTCCACCGGGACTGTTCTCTATTGTTCGGACAGTCTTGGTGCACTGTTCAGCCTTGATCTCCTTCAAAATAGGTATGTTCTTTTTGCTAAGTTTACCTCATACGGAGTTTTCTAGGTATCGTAAGGTCGTTACACTGAATTCTCGCTGTTGCATTCTGCAAAGCGAAGCGCGAGAAAAGGGTCGCCTGCTCGCTGCGACCGTGGATAACACCATCCGCGTCATAGATGGAGGTGAGTGAAGATGTGTATTGTCACTTCCTTATCACCCAAGTTTATTGACTAAGATAAAATACCGTTCTTTTACTGGCTGTATTGTTCTAAACTACCTTATTATTGCTCCAAATTGTGATAGTTTTAGCTAGGATTCTTTGGTTTTGCACATTTTTGCATCGCAAGATTCGCGGAAGCAAGACCTGGACTTTCAATCCGAAACCTTGGCCAATATGGCCCATCCACACTGAAAATTAATAGTGAAAATCAGGCAATTTTTCATCGATATTGTACGGTAAGCTTTCAATACCGCATAGTCAACTGTTTCACCCTAGTTCTCAAGCAGATATTCACGGAGTCACGTTAGCTCAGCCGGAAACTTAATCACGGATCAGTCAAATTCGATCCTCCGAGTCTTAGACCGTGAATTTGGTTAGTCTACAAGATGTCTTTGTCAGGCATTGGACTGGCCCATTCACGCCGTTGTGCGATCTGTGTGCACTGAGGCCACCACGTGCAACTGGGTTCGCAAATACAAATTGAATAAAATGTGGTGAATAAAAGCTGAAAAGTTGCATCGGGGGATCTGATATGTACAGCTTGCTCTGTTCACTGATACTGCGAGGCAAAAACATGTACTTCGCAGCCTTCAGATTATTCGTAGAATTATGCAGTTTTCACTCGACGGAAAGATTTTAGGCGGTGTGCAATACTTCATGGTAGGTCCGTATTGCACGCTAGTAACACTGAGTTCCTGAGGTGCTAGACGAAGTCGGTTTATTTCACTCGAAGGATGCTTCTCAAGCAGTAGTGGTCAGAGACTTCCAGCTTCCGTTCATTTTCAATGGGCATAGCCCAACATTCGCATCCGTATAGGAGAACGGACCGCACAGATGCGCATTACACGTGGACCTTTGTGGAGATAGAAGTATCGCGTCGGGTCCAAGGGCACTTTCGGAGGCTAGAGAAAACTCGTCGTGCTGCGTCATTTTGGGAGAGAATGTCATCTTTTCTCTGTCCATGCGGCAGCAACCTCGCTCCGAGGTATTTGAAACTGTCTACTGCTTCAAGTTGA